TGACTGTTGAGGCTCTCTTGATACTTGAGGGAGCAAAAGAAAAGCATGGAAAATCATCCTTACTGCGGGGGAAAGGATGAAACCAACTGAAAGAAATTACAATTCTGCAGCTATTGTGCTCTAACAGGAATTTAAAGTCCCTAGAAGCAAATGAGTTGACTGTTCCAGGCATTTTCTTGGGGTAGTGAGGGCTAGAAGGAGGTCTACTCTCTCTATTGGATAAGTGTTTCTATAGCTGGTTCTTGCAGCTCTCTGTCTAGACTTCAGATAATAAAGATGTTAAGAGTAACTTAACAGAAGTAACTTTTAGTATCCTTCTGTCGCTGTAAACTCAAGTTTGTCTGCTGCTTGAGGGCAGACTTCTGAAGAGCAACTGTCAGACTTTTGACAACAGAGGTCGCTCTTTAGCTTTTAGCTTTTGGGGACAGCTTTGAAGTTAGTATGTGGGTTTCTTGTGAGCCTGAAAACTACTTTTTCAGCCCATGGTCCAGATAAGGTCACTGGTCTCTAGCCCTGTTCATGTAAAAGGGTTAAGTGTCTTACATTATTGTACAATACCAGGGAAAAGGGAGAGAGTTTCAGGAGCACCTGCTTCTGGTATCTCTTTTCCCTTCATACTTCTAAGTTACACTCATTATTGATACTAGGTTAACTTGTATGTTATTAAGAGTTACTTAATGACCTTAAAGGAAGATTTGATGGTGGTGGGAGAAAGATTAGGCCGAGAGGAGCATTATTTGATTTTCCTAAGGGCTTGGAAGTAGCCATTTTATCATTCTTTGATATTGTAGGTAATTATTCAGTTAGCATCAGGTTGGCTTCTTGCCCAGCTTATATTTGAGTGGGTCACCTGTCAGGCTGTCAAATTATCATGCTTTAAAACTGATTCCAAGCAATGCCCTGCAGCTGACCTATAGAAATGTGTCAAACTGGTGCTGTTTTCAATTGAGTTTGACCGAGATAGTGTTGTAAACTATGAGTGACTTAGAAGACTGCCAAACCCAAACCAACTACCTGATTGTATATGTGACTGTAAAGCTGTTCTTTTCCGTATCTATGCAGGTATGTGATGGGAAAGTATCTGTCCATATTATTGAAGGGGATCACCGCACCTTGTTGGAGGGAGATGGCGTTGAATCTATTATTGGGATCATCCACAGCTCACTGGCAGAGCCACGTGTCAGTGTCAGAGAGGGTTAATTTCTGCTCGCTTACCACCAATGGTGAAGAAAATGCCAACAACATTCTTTGTTATGACAGACCCCAAGGAACTCTTCTTGTTGTTCAACATCTCATCTGCTCTGCTGCCAGAACTGGGAAGTCCAGCTGAACTTGATTTCTTTCTCTTGCTCATCTTTTCCTTTCCCAACTTCATGGGTTCTCTCTCCTTGTTCTCTTCGTATGCTTTGTTTTCCCCTAGTATCCCTGTCTGTGTTACTCTAGTGCTCCAACTCTGTCACTATGCACTGCTGTGAGGGTTGCCCATCGATGCTTGTTCCTACACCCTTGGCAGTATGAAAAACAAATTTAGGAGTAGATTTCTTGTGCTCTATATTGTTTTTGTCTTAACAGTATTCCAAAGCATGTGTGATAGCACTTGTTGACCAAGCCCGGTGAGCAGGGAGAAGAGCTGCAGCTGATTTCTGAGATACCTTTTTGTCTGTGAAGAATCTGTCTGTGGCTATGTCAGAAAGAGAATTCCATTGAGGCTTTTGTAACTTTTTTTTTGTCATTTGATATATTCTAAGTATTTATTATGTCAAACCAGAGACTTCTTACTTGGTTTTAATTTATCGTGGGTTATAGAAGAAAAGAAACATCCCTTTTTGGAGGGGAAAGCTTATTCTACAAGGGGAAGTTGCCTATATGTTAAACCAAAGTGCATCTTTGGAATAATGTGGTTTCTTTTTCTTCTGTTTTTTTTCTCTTTCTCCCACTGCCATTCCCAGTTCAGAAAGGAAAAGGTAGTAGTGAGGAAGGCAGGGCTCTTGCCATCATCTGCTTTTTTGGGAGGGGGGCGGGGGGAGTGTAGGATGGATGCCACTGTATGGAACAGTCTTAACACTTGGTCTGATAAAAAGAAGGCAAAGCTATCCGTAGGAAGGTACTTTATATTTGTGCAAGGTTCTGTGCTCTGTTCTATCAGAACCTTAGTAAAGCATTAAGACTATTGCTTTACCTTTTTCCTTCCCACCTCCAGTCTTGCCACCCAACCAGACATTTGGAGTGGGGGTTAGGGGTGGGATAAAGTTCTTCAATTATAACTTAACAAATCCTCTTACCCCTCCCTGCTCTTCCATAACCAAAGTTCAGGCAAACATACAAGTATGTACCCGGAGCCCCTGTATATTTTATTTAGCACAGGGTCTTCCTAAGCCTTGTGTATTCATTTTCCTCTCAGTAATGAGACTGGAGATCCCACAAAAGTTAGCTAAGTAACCAGTTTGATGGCATGATTTTAAGACATAGTACCTTTTTAAAGGAAACTTGCATAAAAGTCAATAAACTTCTTGCCTTTGCTATGCTGAATCTGTCCTTTCCAAAATCAGTAAATCCTTACTACACTTATGATACAGAGGAGATGTGGGTAGCAATGAAGCCCCAACTAGGAGGAGCTATTATGCCTCTCAGAACTGCTATAAATCCCGTTTGCTCCATCTGAATCCCCCAGTGAAGTGTCCTGGTAGTACAGGAGCATTTCAATGACAGGAATAGATGGCTCTTCACTGCATGTTCTGACCTAGTGTCTTGCTTATGCCACCCTCTGTTGATAGTGGCTGGGTTAACTGGTTTTAGTTTTATAAAGTGTTTCTTCTGTGAAATCTGAAATAAAACCAATATAATGTCACCTTAATTTCCAAAATAAGTCTTGTTCTTTTTCTTTTTTTGTTTTGTTTGTTGTTGGTTTTTTGGTGTTTTTTGGTTGGTTTTTTTTTTTAATATGTTTTGGTCTTAACAGTGTCTTTTTGGCTTTCCTAGTATTAAACAGAATTGATCACTGGTTGGCTTTTTGTCTTATTCTCTACCACCATTTTTTAATCCTGTGTTTCATCTACAATCTCTCATTTCTTGGTAAAAAGCAAAACCTGTTTCTGGCATATCCGAGTTGGAGTCTGTAGAAATAATAACAATAATAAAGAAGACTACTTATTCTGGAGCATGGCTTTTTGTTGCCATGATTTTGCACACACCCACAAGATTGAAGTGGAAACTCCTACATTCTAATCCTGACTCCACTACTGTGGTTTTGAACAAGCCATTAATGCTACTGCCTCAGTTTCCCCATTTGTAAAATGGGACTAATGGCATCTACCTCAAGGTCACTGAGAGTGTTACGTAATGGGTATAAATGCTGTCAAGTTATTAGGTATGACTAGGTGTTAGGAGGTAACAGAAGGAGGGGAAGTGGCTAATGTGTGAGGGTGAGGTGCCTTACAGCCACAAAGAATCTAATACTGAAGAGTGGCTGTGTGAACTGGGCATATGTGCATGCTCTGGGACTTCATTATGTCTACTGCATATTACCCATGCACATCGTGGCATAGGATACTATGTAACAAAACAAATGTGGTTGGTTGGTTCGTTTTTAATTTAACTACTGGCAGTTGTAGTGAGCCTGAACAAAAACAATGTTGAAAGACTTCTACTTGCCTTGGTTCAATTGACAACCTAGGAGGAAAGAGAAAGGAGTGATTAAACTTCAAGCAGACATACTGCAATAGTTCTGTGCTAAAATGTTTCAACAAATCTTGAATGAGAGGGAGCAAGGACTAATGCTGTTCCAGCTATTGGCGTAGGAGGTGGATGAGTGCTCTGTATAAAGATTCATGGTCTCATCTAAGCAAAGCTTGAAGATAACTGGTTTAGTAACAGAAGTTCCTCAAGGACTTAGTCTACATGATCTCAATGTTGCTTTGGTTGTTACTTGAAAAGCAGAAGGTTGTTTTGGGTTTGATCCCCCCATAATTTTGTAACTATGAGCTGCTGCCCTGTATCCCATTCTGCAACTGGCTGCTGAACACAGTGTGCCAAAAATAAAAACCTTACTAGTGCTGGTACTGCTGCTTGTTTCTCACTAGTCCATCAGATAGGCATAGGCAAATGGTAACATACATTCTGCAAAATTGAAAACTACAGTTGCTTGCCTTGAGAAGATGAGGGCAGAAGTCAAGTCCTTAACAACTACCCTTCTATAAGAAATTGAAGTGGGAGTTTCTGTTGTCAACTCCTACTCACTTTTCAGTCTCCTTTTCAGCTAGCTTCTCATAGGCTTCTCTACACCAGGCTGGTCTTAATCTTGAGACTGAGAAACACAATGCCCTGTTGGCCCTGTAAACTTAATAGGTTCACAAACACATTGCTACCCTGAAATCGTGGGCAGTATACCTTAAATCTGCAATATAGCCTTAATAAGAAAAATAAGGAAGCTATTCTTTTTTCTATCCTACCATTTCCCTGAGGAGAAAGAAATATGCCTCTTGCCAAAGACAATAGCTAAAACATGCAAGAACTGGTGACTAAACAGCACTACCAGACTGCTCAAGTAGAGAAGTTTTCCAGTGCTGAGGGGGAGGTCAAGTAAAACCCAAAACATTTAAGGTAGACCAGTGATAAGGGAAGCAGGCATTTTCCTCCTGCAGCTAGTTACTTTACTGTCACTGAAGATCAGGCCCATTGCCGGCAACTCGGCCCAAAAGAAAAAAAAAAAAAAAAAGCTAAACCCCAAACAAATTCTGGAGCAGCTGCTTAAGAGATGGGGGTGGGTGAAGGAGAATTAGGCTGCGTGTTTAAGATATCAGAATGGGTTGTTTATGCCTCTGGAAGTGAAGGCAATGGAAGATGGTAGCGCGACCTCCCCATCCCACACGCCGGCCCTGCCGTTGCCTGGACTCTTCAGCGGGCGGCCCCTCCTTGCAGCGCCGCGGTTTCCGGAGGGGACGCCGCCGCAGCTGCACCGCGGAGCCGACCGGAGCGAGATGGCGGTGGCACCGTCCGGCCGGCGCCGTGCCCTGACAGGGACCCGCGATCGCTCCCTCCTCCGGGCTCCAGGCGGCGGCTGCGAGCCCCGGTGCGGCGGCGAGGAGGGGGGGCTGCCGCAGCGCCGCTCGGGCGGGGGGCGGGCGAGAAATGCCGAAGCTGCGTGGGGAGGCCTTCTGGAGGGAGACGCTGCGGAGCGCCCACTACGTGGTGGCGCCCATGGTTGACCAGAGCGAGCTGGCCTGGAGGCTGCTGAGCCGCCGCCACGGCGCCCAGCTCTGCTACACGCCGATGCTGCACGCCCAGGTCTTCCTCAGGGACGCTAACTACCGCCGCGAGAACCTTTACGACGAGGCTTGTCCCGAGGACCGTCCGCTTATCGTGCAGGTGAGTGCTGCCACTGGCGTCCGACCCGGCGGCCCGCAGCGCTCCCCGAGCGGCGGCGCCTGCCCGGTCAGCCCCAGCGCCGGAGCGGCGGCAGGCACTGCCGGGAATGGCTCCCCGGGGTTCTTGCGGTGCGCTCTTGGGTAGCGCTACGAAGGCAAGTCGGCATTGCCAAATACACCGTTGTCATCCACCGCGTTTGTGTTCACAAATCCAGACGTTTTCCAAATGCTCATGAGTTCATGCCAGTCACTTGTTACCTGTATGTGTTTATATATATATATATATACCTGGTTCTATGAGATGACAGAAATCTCATTTTCTTCCCCTAAATACTGCTAGCAGTACTTAGCTCATGATGGTGTGTTTTTCTGTTTATCCCTTGTGTAGCAAAGGGGATTTGGTATCTTAACCACAGAGGCCTGGAGCACTAGACTTCTCCCAGGGTTTCAGTCCTCTAAATGTCATCTTTACACATACGTTGCAGCTGGTCTTCTAGAGTCAAGGGTTGTTCCAGACGTGATACCATTCAGGGAGGATCACAAATTTTTGAGTAGTACTCTGAAACAATGAGTTCTGTACATAGCTATAGAAAAAAGAAGATAAGACACACTTTAAAGCTTGTGTTGCTTCTGCTTCTTGAGTACCTTGTGAGGTTCAGATATGTCCCTCCACTCCATCCCAAAGAAGGAGAGGGCTGCAGAGCTGAATGCAGGGAAGGACAGCCAGCATGAGCAGAGGAATGGTGTGGTTTCCACATGTGGAGCAGTTAAATGAATGGGGACTCTTTGCCCTGGAAGAAAAGTGTCTCCCCTGTCTGAGGGGAGAGATAAGAGAAGTCTGTGAAAGTAAGACTGGCTTGAAGATGAATAGGAAACAATTGTTAAATAAAGGTAGTGATAAGCTTTGAAAATTATTACCGCAGGATGTAATGGATGCTGAAAGATTACATGAGTTTAGAAAGCAAATGAAAGAAAACTCTCTTGAGGGTCATTAGGTGCAGCAAACACCACTTCTGCTTCCAAAGAAGATGTTTTCTTCCAAAGAACCAGTTTCTGCTGTTTGCTACTCATCTGTTGTTGACCATTATCAGAGCAGGATGAGGTGGACCTTTGTTCTGTCTCAATAAAGCTTTGTATATTCTCCTTTTTCTAAGAGAGGTACTTTCATTTGCCACAGAAAAATACAGGTGGCAGACTTCTAGTCTTAGAAAGCTCTAAGTCTTTTGAACACAGATCTTCAGCTCAGTAAACTCTGTTCTGGGAAGCCTACCTGAAGAGTTACTGTGAGCTTGCTACATTATTCGTCCCACTGGCCACTACTGGACATAAGGCACAGAGCTAACTAGATCTTCGCTTGACCCAGTACAGCAATCCTTACCAATTTCTGCAATATTTCTGGGCAGGTTTGGGTTTTGGTCACAGACTCTTGGAACCAGATTAAGCAGATTTGTGTCTGAGCCCTGCCAGCCCTGTGGGTTGTGGGTTTTACTGTGTAAAAATCCTCACTGATGTGGCATAGTTGGAGGCTTTCTACTGTTTTAAACATCTCCGAGAAGGAAATGCCTTTTCTTGTTTTAGTTACGTAATTTACATAATGCTGTAGCACTTAAGTGACATCTTCTGCACATGTGTTTGAGTTTAAATCCATGTTATTTAAAGGTGTGATAGCATTGTTTTTTGTTAATAATGAATTTAAGAAAATCTGTTTAAAAGCAAAAATGAGAATAATAGTCTGTTACTGTCCTGTTCAACAAAGCAGCTTCAAATTCACCTGTTTTTTTCTTAATAAACTGATTTTTGCACTGTTTTACATGCAATATTAATTATATTTAAGACTGAGCATTTGACTATCAGCCCAGTGTGTCTGTTTCACATTCCACACAAACGTGAATTCATTTGAGAGGCAGTGGTACTTAGCGGTATCTAAGAATTGTCTGAAGACCCAGAGACACCACAGGTAACTCTTTTCTTCTGCACTACCTTTATGTATCAAATGCTATAGCTGTTTGTTCTACAGGGGATCTTAAGTGTTGTTCCGTCTTTTTCGTGGATATTACATGTCAAATATTCTATAAATATTTCTTTGCCTCTCGAATGCTCATCTTTCTCAGTTTTTCATTTGAAGTTTGAGGATCTTTGGCAGGTGAGTGTCACAGTTTTTGTCTGTGGTGGGTTTTCTTTTTTTGGGAAATGGTGTTTGCTATTATTAACTGTGCATATTATACCTGTTTTCTGTAGCAAGTAGATTGCTTCATAACTATGTCATAATGTGTTGTCAGTACTTCAAGAAAGCTATTGCCTAATTATTCCACTTCTTTTTGTCTTTCTCAGTTCTGTGCCAATGACCCTGAAGTGTTTGTCCAAGCAGCGCTGTTGGCTCAGGATTATTGCGATGCCATAGACCTAAATTTGGGTTGCCCCCAAATGATTGCAAAGAGAGGTACGTGCAAATCTGAACCCTGCATAAATAGAGAAATGGTACGTTTCAAATGTGACTGTTGCTAGTAAAACACCAAGAGGACCAAATGAAACCAATTTTGCAACACTGCATTTAAAATTGTTACGCAGGAATGTAAAGTCCCCTCTTTCCTTGATACTTGCAGGGAGTTTATTCACATTAGCATATAAAAGGATAACACCTACCGGATCCCTAAGAGGTATTGCAAAGATAGCTGGTTTGAAAACCAGAACCAGTGTTTGAAAATTTTGAAAAAGTTAGGATGCTGAGAAGAGATTTGTTCAGTAACTGCTTATTCCTCTTCTAAAATGTCTTTCAAAGACTAATAGGAAGTGATCAGTGGTGTACAGAGCAAATAGATCTTTCAATCTGATTGGGTATTATCCTGAAGGGAATTTTTATACACCTGATATAAACTCCTGAAAGTTGGACTTCGAGCTGCTGGTGTCAACACAACAGCCTTAAGGAGTAGCAGTGGAAGTAGGTTGTGGGGATTCATTGTTTGTCCTGTAAATCTAGGGTGGCATGGGGGACAGAATGACTCACCTCTTCCAGTTTGGGCAGGACAGAGCAACTCTGTTTCCAGAGGCGTATGAATGTCTGGATCTTTGTATGTGAGTTTATGAATCTTGGTCTTCTCTACAAGTCTGTTATGTTATTTTATCATAGGTCACTACGGAGCATTTCTGCAAGAGGAATGGGATCTTCTTCAGAGAATGAGTAAGTCTTTAAAGAGGCCTCACTTTACAGAGACTTCACTTTGAGAGGGAGTAGGATGAACTCATTACTGAGAGGAGGTTTATGGATTTGGGGGAAAGGAGGTGCAGCATGTTTCTTTGGGGAGGGTTGTGTTTGTGTTTTGTTGGTTTGGTAAAAGGTACAAATCAGAACGGCCTCAAGGTGAGAAGAGAACCCAGGTCATCCGGTTGGGTGAAAATCCAGGCTGTGTAGTAAGAGAGTTGTCTTATTAGACTGTTGTATAAAAGGTAGTCAGAGCTTCCTCTTCCTCCTTCTCCCCCATCCTTTTCTAATATGATGGAGTACTCTTTTCTGCTTACGCCTGTATACACCTTAAGTGTTCATTTGAAAGGGTGATAGAAAGTACCTATCAATAGGGCTCCTAGGATTTGAGTTAGAATACAGCAGGTGGCTATATTATACATCCAAGCTCTGGAAGTAAAGAGAATTTCAAGCATGCCATTGCTCAGTGTTTTTTCTGTTGGTTTTGTTAGCAATCTTTTCAGTAGTTTTCCAATTTCATGCACTGTATAAACACTATGGGAGTTTAAAATGTTCTAGATTTCATCCTGATTGTGTAACCTACATTTACTATTAAACTGGGTCCACAGTTGTCAAATTCAGTTGATAAGCCTCTTTTGGCCATGGACAAGACTCTACTTGTCAGGACTGTTTATGTGAAGATTTAGAAAGAAGCAAAGCATCTCTTGTAGAAAAGGTGGACAAGAGAGTATTAATGTTGTTGGCAGAGTAGGAGTAGTACAATAGCCTGTGATTACAGTAAACCTGTACCAATGATGAAGATTTGAGGGGATGGTCCTTGAAAGTGAAGGTTTGATGTGGTGGAAGCATTAGGACTATTAAACGTTGACTATTTTATGCCTTTTTGTTAGAATGCAGATTTTGTGCTTCATGTTGTACTATTACTTGATTAACATGTGCAGTAAGGATTGCAGAGGACACTGCTGATTGTTTAAGCTGTGAGAACTGCCTAGCATTAACTTTTGAGGCTTTTTACATACCACACCTAGTATCTTGAGGATATGCACTTTTCATAGCATTGTGCAGCCCACTTACGTGTCTTTTCAATCTTCCCCAGTTTTACTGGCAAATGAGAAGCTCTCTGTTCCCATCACATGTAAAATCCGCGTTTTCCCAGAAATTGACAAGACAGTGAAGTATGCACAGATGCTGGAGAAGGCTGGATGCCAGGTAAGGTGGCAGCTGCTCCCTGTACTCTTGCATTGGACACACGTCTCTTTGTAAAGCATCTGGTGACCGGATCTTGGATTACAGTGGAGATGAATAGGCTGCATCATTTTACAAAGAGGAAAAATGGGATGCAGAGAGACTTTATATATTCGCAGTTGTAGGCAGCAGGCCAATAGTGTGATGCAGAAGACATCATGATTTCAGAGTCTCTCTTATAATCACTGCACAGGGTGGCATCCTTCACTGTGGCTGAGCATCTCAGTCTGCTGCAGAAGGCAGTGTGAGTGCATGAAGTCCACAGAGCTATAATAAAAACCTAGTATCAAAAATGACTGCCACTAGTGAGAAAATAGGCAGCTTTCTAGGAGTTAACTCAAATAGGAAGAGATGCTGTGGTTAGAGCAAGTACTGACAGTGTTCAGACCTTCTGCTGAGGAGCAAGCCAGATCAATAAACCACAAATTCCAAAGTGAATCACAAATAGGAGCCAGTAGAGGAGGAAATCTGTAGGCCCTCCCAAGATATGATCTTGTCATGCTGTGGAATAGCAATCTGAAAGAAGCCCAAGACCATGCCATGGTAGGTGAGCTGCTGATGCCTTTCTGTGATACCAGAGTCGTTGTGCTGTTGAAAGAGCAGTGGGAATTCAGTGGCATCCATGAAGTGTATGGCGTGAAAGGAAATTTTTGTCAGTTGGTTTGTCCAGTGGTTCATGCACATGAAAAGTAGATGTAACTTTGTTTTCTAGCTGCTGACTGTGCATGGCCGTACTAAAGAACAGAAGGGACCGCTTGCTGGCGTGGCGTCCTGGGAGCACATTCAGGCTGTCAGGTCAGTGAGCAGTGCTCGTCTCGCTGGAATTCTGCTAACAGATGATGAAGGTAGATTTTAAGTGGATTAAAGAGCAAACAAGTTTATGTGTGACAGCAGTAGAATTTCTGGGTTGACTCTAATTCTCAATTTTATGCATCTGTTTTATTCACTGATATAGAAAAGCTGTAAGCATTCCTGTATTTGCAAATGGAAACATCCAGTGTCTCAGTGATGTTGAAGAATGTATCCGTAAAACAGGAGTGCATGGTGTCATGAGTGCAGGTAAATAAAATGAATTTTTACTCAGGTGAAAATACAAACTATTTCTTACTCTCTTAGCAGCCCCATATACATTCATTAAGAGCTTATGTCAGACTGACTTAGTGAACAGCTTTGATTGAAAGCTGAGTGGCCATTCTCCCTCTTCTTAGAGTGGCCATGTCTTACCAGGACCAGGAATCACTTAAGATTATGTAAGAATTGTTATGTTGGACTTCTAGTACCATTGAGTGGACAGCTCAAATCTAATTACTTGACAAAGGCGTATGGGACTCCTGTTGTCCTGGAATATTTTCATGACATCTGTTAATCAAAGCAACAGTTTTTGAATGGATCTTGATGCAGGGCATGCATCCACTGATTAATATTCCTGTAGATGTTTCATGTTGGGTTGGGACAAGAAAGAACTGGCGTAGCTTCCTACAGGGAGAGCTAGGACAGAAACAGAGAAAGCTTCCAATCACTTGCACAGTTAGATCAATGAAATATTTTCTGGGAGGTTGTAGAATCTTATTCTTAGAAAATACAAAAGCTTTTGAAGCTAACAGAGAAAAGCATAGTGAGAAGCAGTATCTGTAAACTTAGGCCAAATGAATGTTAAGACAGACATAAGACAGGACATCCACTGTCCAAGTATTTAACAACTGGGCAACAAAAACAGTGATTTTTCTATTTGTCAATTTTTTTTACTGTCTTTATGTTAAGATTGGATGCCTTTCTGTAAAATGTACTTTAGTTAGATATGAGCTATTTGGCTCAGTTAAGAACTGTATAGTCAAATGTAGTATCCTGAGGTCAGACTAGAGTTTTATGTACCCTGTGTTCCTCTGTGAGTACATGGGTGATGTGTCTCTGTCTGGCTGGTGGAATCACAACAGAGCTGATCAAGCTCCAGAGCCTGGTTTTTATTTTCTGTTTCAATCCTGAAATGGAAGTTTGAGTATTTCTTTTCATTCCGTAGAAGGTAATCTCCATAACCCAGCTTTGTTTGAGGGCCGAAACCCATTGGTGTGGGAGATGGCTGAGGAGTATCTGGAGATAGTGCAGAAGTACCCTTGTCCATTGTCTTATGTTAGGGCTCATCTCTTCAAGCTCTGGCATCACACGTGAGTATCTCCAGAGAACTCTTCATGTTTTCAGGGCTTATCTTGCTTAGCAAGTGTCTGGGTTTTGTAGACAAGATTTTGTTTGGCCAGAATGAGTATGCTGCAAGGTTTTCTTTCCTGGACCTGGCTGGACGGAATGTGGGCTGAGGCCTTTACTCTTCACTGCATATCTGGAAAACAGGGCATGGGGAATGAACAAGTTACCACAAGATAACTAGGGTGTGAGCTCACAGTATTTCAACTGCCATGTGGTAATTGCCCAGATACACATATGCACTTTGTGGCGAACACGAGTTAACTAACTCCTTGTTCAGTGTGAGGCAAGTTGTCTTGCATTTGTTGTGGAGTAAGAGCATGGCCATGGGTAGTTACTGAGGAGTGGCTGATGCACTGTGTATTCATGTTAGCTTATCTCAAAGTACCTTGGTTGTGTGCCAAGTATTTATTTGAAAAAAAGTGGGTAGGTGTGGTTTTCTGTGGACTTACAAGAAAGAAGATAAGCTTCTACCAAAGGCAAGTGCAGCAAGAGAAATCTGTGAAAAGCTTTTATAAATATATTTTCAGTTGATCTCAGTGTAGAAATAATGAATAAAATGACTTGATGTTTGGGATTTGCCTCAGGCTTCAAGTTTACCAGCAACTGCGTGAAGAATTAGCAAAAGTGAAGACTCTAGAGGGCATTGTAGATGTCAACAGGGAGCTGAAACTACGATGCCAGGTACTAAGATGGGTCCTAATCTCCCAGAACAATACTGTCTGCACTTGGTGGGAACTTACCATGTATGTCATACAGTTGATGTCTGTTAGTCACTTCATTGAAACTTTGTGGCTTACCAACCTTGATGTTGGTAGTTTACTACAGTAGCAGCCCCCGAAGTCTGAACAGTTTTACACAGGATTTAAGAGTTACAAATCTGCTCCAATTAATCTCTCTTAGTAGAAGTTTTTTGCCTATATTTGACTGTCAGTAACTGTCACTTGAAATTCCAATTTGTGGTTTCCTGAAGTTTGAAGTATTATTTAAGAGTGTTGCCTGAGAACTTCAGGAAGACTGACTGTAACTCTATACTGCAGGAAGAAATAGCTAATCAGAAAGAAGGAGAAAAGCCAAAAGAAGGGTTGCCTTTCTTCCACTGGATCTGTCAGCCATACATCAGGCCTGGGTAAGTTAGTTATTTTAACATGGACAGAGACCAATAGGCCTTTCCCACCTATCCTATCAGTACAGGGCCACCCAAATCTGTTCTAGGAGCTTATATTAATTTGAAAATAAATGAAGACTTTGGATTGGTTTTGTTCTCATTTCTTTTTTTCTGGATTATTGCTTTGTTCATGGGGATATTGCTCATTGCATTCATCTTCTCCTTTAGAGCCTTCTCAGATTTCTCTCTCTCTGAAAAGTGAAAACCAGTAATTCCTCTGCAGAACAGAAAGAGAACCTGATGAACAACAAATACGCTACCTGACAGTACTTTATCATTATATGTAACATGGATGTTGCTGGTAACTGCCAGGGTAGCAAAGATGAGAACTAAATTGTATTCTATAAAGGATGCTTGTGTTGTATGGACAGACTTTTCAGATAACTTATTCCCTTTCTGTTGTGAAAACTGGTCTGAAGACAGTGTGTCTGTTACTAATAGCCAATGATAACAAAAAAGTTCACTTTTTCTATTCCACTTCTATGGGCAGTGACACTTCCCTGTAATTTCACTGTAATCATAGAATCATGGAATAGCTAGGGTTGGAAAGGACCTTAAGATCATCTAGTTCAAAACCCCCCTGCCATGGGCAGGGACACCTCACACTAAACCATGTCACGGAAGGCTCTGTCCAACCTGGCCTTGAACACTGCCATGGATGGAGCATTCACTACTTCCCTGGACAACCCATTCCAGTGCCTCACCACCCTAACAGGAAAGAATTTCTTCCTTATATCCAATCTAAACTTCCCCTTTTAAGTTTGAACCTGTTACCCCTTGTCCTATCACTACAGTCCCTAACGAAGAGTCCCTGCTGCTATGAGGTCTCCACACAGCCTTCTCTTCTCTAGGCTGAGCAGCCCCAACTTTCTCAGCCTAATAGAAAAGTTTAGAGTTTACCCAGATTTCAGTAAACCAGAACAGTATCTGGGGATCACCTGCTTGTTCACTACAGCCAATTTACGATGATATTCACTGTTTCAGGCCAAAGGAGAGATGCAAGGAGAATGGAGCCAGTGAAAAAGGTGCGCGAGGAAAACGTGCTTTGGAAGAGGAGGAAGATGGAAATGCTGAGCTTCTGTCAAAGAATAAACAAAAAAAGAAGTTGAGAAATCCAAATAAAAGCTTTGATCCATCTTTAAAACGTAAGTTCCATTTATTGGATTAATGCTTGGAAAGGTGCTGATATCCCATTTGACATAAACAGCCACTGTTTATTTTCTTTGTTCATGTAGGTAGAAATTTCTTAAAACAGGGAGGATTACTGGGAAATTTCAGTAGTAGGCAATGTGATTCAGTTTATGTTCATTACTAAAGAAAACTAGGATTAAAGAAGTAGGTCACTGATCCACTATAATCATCTTTTTAAGATCAGAATGCTTTTACAAACTGAATTTTAGCTGTCATTAATATTTGAAATTGCCTGTGCATTTCAAGCAGTTGTCCTCCTTTCTTACACTTGAGAATTAGAATTTTCCATGTTTGGATTTAGTTTAGAGGCACTTAAAAAGTCCTTGACCTTTGCACTGTTCTTTGAGGTACTGTATTTTAATTTTAAAAAGTCTCTCTCGCTAGAGAAGTGCCAAGCTGATGCTGCTTTGTTTGGGTTGGTTTACTTTCTTCCACATAAAAATACCATTGCTGAAATCCTCTCTCTTTTTCTAGCCAAATATGCAAAATGTGATCAATGTGGAAACCCTAAGGTAAGTCAATGCCAGTGGTCCATTAGAGCGTTTCTGTTAAATGGAAATTAAATGACCATGAAGTGGTCAATGGCTCAATGTCCAAATGAAGAACAGTGATGAGCGGCATCCCGCAGGAGTCCACACTGGGACCAGTACTGTCTAATGTCTTCAACAGTGACTAAGACTGTGGGATAGAGGGCGCCCTCAGCAAGTTTGCAGATGACATGAAGCTGAGTGGTACGGTTGACACTCGTGAGGGAAGGGATGCCCTCCAGAGGGACCTGGACAAACTCGAGAACTGGGCCTATGTGAACGTCGTGAAGTTCAACACGGCCAAATGCAAGTTCCTGCACCTGGGCTGGGGCAACCCCTGGTATCAATACAGGCTGGGGCTGAGGGGATTAGGAGCAGCCCTGAGGAGAAGGACTTGGGGGTGCTGGTGGATGAAAAGCTGAACATGAGCAGGCACTCATAAGCACTTGCAGCCCAGAAGGCAAATCGTATCTTGGGCTGCATCCAGAGGCACATGGCCAGCAGGTCAAGGGAGGTGATTCTGCCCCTCTGCTCTGCTCTAGCAAGGCTTCACCTGAAGTACTGCATCCAGATCTGGAGTCCTCAGCACAGGAAAGACATGGACTTGTTGCAGCAAGCCTAGAGGGGGCCTACAAAAGTGGTCAGAGGATTGGAGCACCTCTCTATGCAGAAAGCCTGAGAGAGTTGGGGTTGTTCAGCCTGGAGAAGAGGAGACTTTGGGGAGACCTTATTGTAACCTTTCAGTACTGAAAGGAGACTTATAAGAAAGGTGGTGACAGGCTTTTTAGTAGGGCCTGTTACAATAGAACAAGAGTTCATGGTTTTACACTAAAAGAGGGCAGACTCACACTAGATATATGAAAGTAACTTTTTACCATGAGGGTGGAGAAACACTGGCACAAGTTGCCCATAGAGGTGGTGTATGGCCCATTCCAGGAAGGGTCAGGTTGGATGGGGCTCTGAGCAACCTGATCTAGAGAAAGATGTCCCTGCTCACTGCAGGGTAGTTGGAACAGATGACTTTTAAAGGTGCCTTCCAACCCAAACTATTCTGGGATTCTGAGTCCTGAGGTAGGTGCATGACAGTGTTGAGTAGCACACACGTACCAAGTCCTGCTGATACATAGGGGAAAAAAGTCAGTTCATACTTGGGCAAAAGTCTCTTAACTATTAACCATAAGCAGAGGTAAAGGTGCTGCACAAAAACCACTACCATACGTAGGGTCTTTGAGATCATTTGTCTTCCTTTCCAAAAATGTGTTGTCTTCCTTTCCAAAAAGTAGCATTACAGCATGTGGTGTTGTTCCCTTTTGTAACAGCTGTAGTACCTTAAAACCAGCAGCTAGGGCTCAGTTTGGAGCTGCAACTACAGGAGACAGTGTATTTTGTGCTGTGTTCATTGTTGGGAGAACACTGAGCACTCATCTGGCCTGCTTTCATAAGCCACCCTATTTCATTGCTAATCCAGGTGACACTGCTTGGTGCGTCAACAGACCTCTCTGAAGCTGGGCTTAATCTCACTTTTGTTTTGCTCTTGCATCACTGTAGTGATGCCGACAGACCTTGAAATCTTGTGACTGGGCCTGTTTTATTTCCCTCCCCAAGATCATGTGTTTCTAAGCTGTGTCATGGAACTGGGGGAGAACAAAATAAAGTGTGAACCAAAGCATTGTAGCCTCCCAGATAGATTGCTAAATGCAAGTGTCAGCTTCCCAAGACTCAACTGCTGCTATCCCCTAAGGGTCATACATTCCATTTTAATATATACTCAGGTACATTTTTAAGCTGCAAGTAGGGAAATAATTCCTGTGGTAACATTTACTTTAGGCATAGCTATAGATGGTAGCAAGCATGTCGGGCACCATGCTTCACATCTACTTTGGAATGAACTACAACAAGCTCACATGCAACAAATGTCACAGTGCTTTTCCAAAGCACTGACAGCACTTACCTGCTTGTGTTGTGCAGCTCAGGCTGCCCAGCATGTTACAGACGCTGCAGAAGTTGAATCTGAATTTTTTTCTGTTTGTCTTGGTTTGGGGTATTTTTTTTTTGTTTTGGTTTTTGTTCTCTATGTACAGTTGATAGCTGGGGCTCCCCCCCCATATAACATCAGCTCTGTCATCTTCATTAGACTGAGGTGTGGCTGCCTAATACACAAGTTCATGATATTTTTCCAAGGTCTGAATGAGCAGAGCTGTATTGTTGTTGCTTATTGTAGTAAACACTAATAATTTTATTTTGACTGATGCTAGCTTCTTTATTCCCCACCCCAGGGCAATAAATGTGTGTTTAACATGTGCCGAGGCTGCTGTAAGAAAAGTGCATTCAAAGCAACAGCAGACTGCCCAGGTAAGTGCAGCCTCCTTCAAGTCACTGAGCAGACGTCCCATCTCCCACGTATGTTCATTGCTTTAAACTTGTTTTTTTTTCGGGGGGGGGATGAGGAGGGGAGGAGCTGTTAGTGTTAAAATCTACAGCCTTGGGATGCATAGTGTCCACTGTGAGAACCCATTTGGTGCAGCTGTAAGGAATGAGCTGTTCTGTTTGCCAGTGCAGTCATCTCATTTCAGATTTGTTTTTCCCCATTCTTGCTTCTTCAGGTCATGGATTACTTTTTAAGACCAAATATGAAAAATCCCTTTCATGGCAGAGTAGTCAAAGAGTAATTCAAAACCCAGAGGTCAGTCGGAGAGGAGATGTAGGTGTGGGGGAGACTGCTGTACTGAACGAGGCTGGTGACAGTGCAGTGTTGAAGCTTTGACAATGCCCACTTAAAGAACTCTGCCAGACCTCTGCTTCCCTGGGCCAAGGAACATGCCGTCTCCAGCTCACCGTCAGCTGTGCGAACTTGTTCCTCAGATTTATTTTAAGTAAGTTCTTGAAAAGTTTTAAGTAAAATGCTGCTTACTCAGGGAATTATCCTGCATTTGAAATAAAAAGGGTACAATTAAATTTCTCATGCTGTGTTTTAAAGAATGAAAATGCTGCATTTTTTGGGTGGGGACAACCTATATAAGCTGCCATCACAATCTGCCTCTTGTATGTTCATTAATCCTTCATCTCCTGTTTTTAATATTGGGGAATAAATTTCTTGTATTAGACCAGTCTTCTGGTGTGCTAAAAACAGTAACGTCAGTGACTTCTTCACTAGCAGAAAATGTGTCACATTTGTCTGAGCTTCCACACGCCACGTTTTCAAGTGCAAAAAAGAATCTAGCTGTACTTTGAAAATGTGAATGTAAAAGTACAAGATGCTGCTGTAATGACATTGTGTATTAACAATTATTAGTTTTCTACAGTACAAAGCTTAACTGTCTCCCATGAGCCGAAGGTTGGGGAAAAATCAAATCTCTATAATAGAAAGGGTTGTCAGAAACTAAGAACCAAGTTCATGAACCTTTCCCTGCTCAAGGTCTCAAACTTAACTACATGATCATTCTTTCCCCTTCCCACCTGATAAATTCTGTGAGAAGTGTGTCAAAACCAGACACAGATCTATACATGCAAGACTCCTATCTGGCTTTTACCCTTTTGTCCCCATGGGCTCTGTGTTTCTCCCTAGGCATTTGGCCTGTTTAGCCTTACAGTGTTTGGGATGCAATAAAGAATGTCAGCAGCCAAAAAAAACCAAACCAGCCCAAAAAACCCACAGCAGTGGTACAAGCTCTTTAATAGACTGAAAAAAAATGGAAGTCAGGCCATCCCCTCCTTAAGCTAGAATAAATAACTAAAGCTTAGCTCAACTTTGAAAATTTATCTCCTTGTGGCCTGTTTGCTGAATGCTGTTTCCGTCGCTGCATGCTCCAGCATATGCTGCAGTGTGAGCAGCTTTTCTTCAGAGGTGCTGGCACTGTCTCAGTGCACAAAAAGCAGCAGATCTGTTAATGCTTTCTTGTCACCTGTAGCCTACTGAAGGGGACAAAGCAATGATGCATTGTGAAGCCGGTTAACTGTGCAGTCTAGCCTTGCCTGGTCTGGCAAAGCTGGCATGTTATGAACAAAACCATTGTAGCAGTAGTGCCCACAACTCTAAAATCAGTAAGTCTTAAACTACTGTTCCTCCAAGGGAAGTGGTGAAGAGAAGGAGGGAAGTGGAAAGGGAAGGAGAAAGAAACAGGCATGGGGCAGGGGGTACAATGACAGTTACATGCCTGGCCTGGTCCTGAGCAGCTGTTCCTGCCCATCCCAAAAGGCTTGTCTGCAACTGAGAGCATCAGGCCCTGAGGGGACGGTAGTTGCCCACAACCCAAACCTCTGTGTCACATGGCCAGACCACCAAGAGGTGTGGTGTATGGCATGGTGTGCTAGGCTAAGTGTGCCTGGTTTAAGCCACTCACTTCGCCTCCATGGGGGCAGGTTTTAGTCATAATTGGTCTTACTCTTTTTTTAATTTATTCTAGGTTGGTGTGTAACAATTCCCCAACAGCTCCTGCAGCTTTTACTGGCCAGTGACAAGAAATTATCCTGTGGTTGAGTTCTCAGTCTTGCAAGCACATATAGCAAGCAAAAGGCCAACACAGTGGACCACTGTACAGTATGTAGTAATGCATTGAGTGCATACTCTGTATTACCACTTTCTGGTCTACAGTTTGAGGGTTTGGCTGGGTGAGGGGGCCATTTGTGTTCTTATATTCTTGTGTTCAGCCTGTGCCACAGGTTGGAGCTGACTTAGGTGGGTACCTTCCACAAATTCAAAATAGGTAATTTAGCAAAGGTAGAGCTGTTTTGAACACAGGTGGAAGGACAGAAACCAGGAGGGAAACTTTTATGGTTTCCTTCCTTGATGCTTCATCTGCCTGGCACTTGTTTTTCTAAAATCTCAACTGCGGAGATTTTCCCTCTGCCTGTCAGAATCTGTCAGATATTCCCCTTTGGAAGTTATGTTGGATCTGAAAGGAAATGCACTGGAAACCCAGTGCCCAGAATACCAGGTCTGCATTACTGAACAGTAATAGTCCAAAAACCCAAAGTGCCTCTAAGGTCAGGAGCCAAAGGCAGCACCAGGCCTCTGTGACCCCAAGGCGAGCCCTTCCCTGCCTCTGCAACACAGGAGGCAAGCCTGGTATTTTTTTAATGCCAGAAACACTCGGAGGCCTCAGGAGCTGAAACGAGGCCCTGTCTGGGCTAAAACCCATTCTGAACACGGGTTTTTTTTAACTTTGCAATGACCCTTCACTGCTTATGCACACATGCGCCTGTACGTGTTCATGCATGCACGTGTACATCCCCCCTCGAGCCCTGCAAGCTCAGTTTCTATTTCCTAACCTGCATTACAAACTATGTTAGTTTACAGTCATAAGTTGACACATGGACAGTGTGCTGAAAATTGAACTAGCAGTTCAGTACTACCCTGAACTCTAGTATCTGTAAACTTAGTCCATGGAGAAACATTCTCATTCAAAACATTAACAAGAGAGCCCATAAGCAAGATTAACAGATCCCTAAATAGAGACCACATGTGAAGCAGAGGCCTTGGCCTACCCTTGTGTCAACCACCCTTACGTTCACTTGCATCTATGCTGTGTTCATACATGAAACATACTATTTCTTAAGGCACCTTCCCTATCACACAAGCATGTGCATCTTGATCTCTAGACATTTGCCTACATCTAGCTTGCTTTTATCTAGCTGATCCCATGCACCAAGTCCTCTAGAGGGACCACAAGAGCTAAGAACTTCAAACCCATTTTGGAGGACTTAAATGCTGGCTAACCTTTAGTTGTGGCTTTCTACAGATTATGACAATAAAAGTAGTTCAAACTCTCCTGTTGAGTCTTCCCATTTCATTTGCTTGTTCAAGTATGTTATTGGAATAGCATCCTCCAACTCTAATCAGCTCATCAACCACTACTTTCAGCAGCTTTCATCATTTCTGACTACCCTTGTATTCAAATCAAGTTTAGCTACTAAGCTGGCAGGTGTTACTTAGCTTGCCTTGTGAATTGGAACTAGCACAGAAAGCAAGGGGGAGGGAAGCTTGTGGCAGGCACCCAAGAGCCCAGCCAGTAGTGTGGGAGAACCGTGTGCCTTATTTAAACATGGGAACTTGGAACCACATCTCCCACCTCTTGTGGAAATGTTCACTTTTTCCCTCGCACAAGCACACACTTAAGTATTCCGAGTTCCCTGGTCTGTTTGAAAAATCCCTCTTATAATAAAAAGCTAAATGTTATTATGGAATTTCAAACTGCTTATCTGAACCCTTACCATTTACAGCTTCCCCAAACCCATCAGAAAGCTCACTCACCGCTCACTGTGCCAGAGAAGAGTTTACAGAGTCAGAAAAGAAATGAGAAACATCTGCTGTGCTGACACACCAGTGGACTGGTGCTATGTGAGACATTCAAGTCACATTCTTAACCACACAGTGGGATTTCAGAACACATCTCTCACAAGCAGCCTCATCACAGAATCACCAGTGTGAAGAAAGGATCAAGCTGGCGTTAGGCTCCTAAATTAAGGAAGGTCCTTATTCTTGGGAATCCCAATTTGGACATCTCTATACAGAATTAGTGTTTAAGGCATATGCGTCCCTACCTGCTCTTCCAAGGCCTTTCTGAATAGGCAATGCAGACAGATGCACACTTGTCTTGTGGGCTCCTGTCCCATGCTGTGGCAGAAGACTGCAGTGCTCCTCCCACAGGGCTGGAAACTGCTCAGGCAGGCACGGCAACACAGAACGCGCTTTTCCACACGAGTGGAAAAAGTTTCAACCTGAACTTCCAAGACATTCTAGAAGCTGATACACTGCGATTGAGGAGGTGGAGATGACCACTGTCATTCCTTAATTAAAAAAGCTGGTGAATTAGGAGGCAGTATTACAACATAAATAAAGCTGAGCCATTTACCATTCAGGCTGGACACATCTGCACCCACACTAACTAGGGATTGCTTTCAGGCAATATACTCATTACCCTGTATAATAAAAAAAATTCAGCCTGCCAAGTGAGCAAGGTCATGTCCTATTTTGTTACTGTTTCACAGGCCTTCAAGAAGATACACAGTAGTTAAGTTGAATTGAAATAGGGGGAGGAAAAGGCAAAGCTCTGCATGCAGAATGATGGTGAAAATGACCCTGTCTTTGGGTTTGAGGGAGATTGGATTCTTGTGTCTAAATCTATTTTCAGAGGCACTCAAAAAAGTAGTAGTCATTCACCTGACAAAAAGGAAGGCAAATGCCTGTGTTGGCAAAGAGCTCGTGAGAAGAGACAGGCAGGATTAAAAGAAAAAAAAAAAAGGTCTAAAAGCAGCACATCAGCCCCTGTACTGGGCACTGGGAGACAAACCCCTGGATCTCAGCATGGATTTACAGGCTACAAACTTTATATACACATAGACTTCAAAGGCACATGGAGTATAAGAGTCAAAGCGAAAGCTACAGCTGTAGAAGCACTAAAGAACTGAAACAGTGGTGTCTGTGAGATCAGGGACAAGAAGATTACCTGGCCTGGTCTACAGATTTTCAGAGCTTTCCACTCAAATTCTTGTTTGAATTAGACCATTTTTTGCTAATGCAGCTACCCTTCGATCTGTAGCTTTTCGTACGTGTACTGAATTATTTCTTTCCTGACAAGAAAGTCATTAGGCATTATGAAATACGAATTTACTCATTATGCATTATGAATTTACCAAACTTCTAACTACTCAATCTCATACATTTCTCTCAGAGAGAGTTTTCCCATGACAAATGGAAGACTTTTAACCAAAGAACTTACAGGAACTACTGCACCTAAGTCATGAAAAGCACAGAAAGCCAGAGGGAGAGAGCACTGCTGCAATTGAGCCTCTGTGCAAATGCAGTCCAGGAGTTTTGCAACCAGAACATTCTCTCAAGTTGTCCTTTCTTCACAGTTCATCCAAACTACATCTTGAATCACATTGGAAATGACAATACAATAGCCTACAAAACACCATCAAGCTTAGCAAAAAATCAATGGCTTGAGACCAAACCCCAACTTTAATACAAAACTCCAAATACTCACAAGCTTTTTAATCCTGTTCTTTAATGCACGAGATAGAACAACTCATTAAAAAAAAAAAAAAAAAAAAAAAGGAAAAAGAGGAAAAGCATGAACACAGTAACAGGAACATCTGGAGTCAGCTGAGGCAGTTGCCAGACCAGTCAGGGCTGGATCAAAATTCTTAGCTTGCCTTATGCATCAGCTGAATGCAAAGCTGCAGTGACTTCAGAAAATTCAGTGCATATCTCCTTTTGTTAACACAGAACACACACACCTGGGCTGCCACCTTTAATCCCTTTATAAAAGGAAAAGCAGAATAAATGCACCTGGAGAGCAGGCACCTAAATTGGCTGTTTTCAGCTCTTCCCCAGGACTTGAGTGGTATTTTATGGCATTTATCCATGCTACCAGAAGCAAGTGTTGCACATGTTGGGAAACCATCACACACTATGGCAGTAAGACTGGACAAGCAGCAGTATTTGCATGAAGTAAGAAATTTACTGCTATGATAACACTAGACCCCAAAGGCAGGTCACACACAAGTGGGAAAAACATTAGCAAACAGGTCTTTGAAAACAGAGTCCAAAGAGAAAAAACCTGTATCCAGGTAAACATAACACCCTAAAATAAAGGCCTGTGACTGAATGCATGGAAGCGGTGCCGTGTTTTCTAGTGTAAGTGAAAAAGTCATTAAGGGTTTCTCAGAGGAAGTCTCCTCTCCCACCAGAACTCTACCTCCATAACTGCAAGCAATGGAAGTTTATCTGGAATAAACTGAAAGCTCAGCACTGCTAAAAATCAAGGCAAAACTTCCAGGCTAGTGAAATTCATCTTAGATCACACATGTCCATTCAACTTAACACTATTTTTGCAGCTTTGAAACATGAAAACTAATAGCAGCTGAAAAACTCTTAAATCAGCATCTGTGTGAATAACCTGACAGCTCTTTATGGAGTGGTGGAGAAGGAAAATGGAGGAAGATGTTCTACCAAAATTGAAATGATGACCCATTGCAGGGATGCTGTTTTTAGAAAGAATTTCTTTTCAAGGAGAATTGAAGTTATAGGAATATTCATTATTATCCACCGTCAGCCCTGACCCTCTCAATCTGACCAAGAAGTGAGGGAGACAGGGACAGTTTGTGAAGCTCAGCAGTTAGTGGGTGAGACAATGGGTACAGTCCTGGAGGGACCATTTCTTTTGGTAGTACACGAAGTTTTTCACATGTTGGTGCTCATCCTGGACTGGCTGTTTGCTGGAGTAAGTTCCCCTTGGCTACCTTCTCTCGGAGGAGACTGCAACAAGACCAAAACACATCCTCGTTAGTGACATGTAAATATCCTGCAGGGTGCTTCCTGAGAGACCAAATGAAGCATAGGTGAAGAACAGCAGGATTAACAACAGTGGGAGAGCACACCCCCAACTCATAAATAACGATGGCTTTCAAAAGCTTTGTCTTTACAACTTCTACAGTTACAGTTCACAACAACTGTTACTAAAAAAGTCAAATCAGAACTTTTAAGCCACTCTTATTTACTATGTACAAGTTGCTGTTGGCCCTAGAAGTTGAATCCTATCTGCTATTTAGTCATCATAGAGATTAATATACTATAGAATTTTACATGTTCTGTGGCAGACGGCCTATCTTCCCTGAGGGCGTTCTTTTGGAACTGCATCCTGGAAGGAATACTCCAAGCAATTCATGCATTTTTTACTTCCTCTGCCAAAAAAAATTACT